TTTTAAGCGCGCAGAATGGCCCGTGGCCAGTCAGTTGCGTCTGTTCCGTGTACGAGATGAGGAACGCCGGGGCCTTGTTCTTGCTTACGGCGCTGAGTCTGGCAGCGGCAGATGATAAAGCACAGGGTTTGTATTCGCTGGACCGTCTGGGGTACTCAGCCCCGTCTACATTTTTGGAATCTGCATCACTCTTGTATAGCGGCAAAATTATTTTGGCTTAAATTAAATGTTAATTTTAAGTCTTCTTCTTCTTCCTCCACGGCGATGATTTTACGATAAATCCCTTCCAGAAGCTGGTGAAATTGTTCCTCCCATCTTGTCTTACCTCGGCCCATGTCACGTCTTCCGCGTTGACTCATGACGTTTTTGCCTGCAGTGGCAAACGTTTTAATTTGTCATTCACTCCGCTGTTCTGGCTGCTTTTGTTTTCGTTTTGGTTGTCATGTGACCTGGGCACCGGCTTTTACGAACCGGTTTTATGGTTCAGTTTTCTTGACTTCCTCCAACAAATTCTGGGATATCGATGACGGTTTTCTGAGTTGTGACGTCATTTGAGCTCGACGGTGGAAGTCTCATGATCCTAACGAAGATGGCTCTTTGAAGCTGCTCGTTTTGTACTGACGATGAAAGCAGATGCTGGTTCAGGCAGTCAGATCACGTTGAGAGATCTTCTTTGGTTTCCTCGGGGTCTGTTGACGCTACTTCGGATCGGTGCCTTAAACCGTATAAACGTTATTCCAGATTCACGTCTCATAACAGTCAAAACATTTTTCATTTTGCTTTAAGTAAGTTCTGCGGTTGGACTCGACGTAGCGGAAGGTGGCTCTAGTATCGACCTGGTGGCGTGTAATTGTCTGCATTAATCGTGTCCGGATACTTGGAGGCGGGCAACAGTGGCCTACATCTCTCTTTCTGTTGCCAACAGACGTTGCCACCTTACAGCCGCCCACCGACGTGGCGCAGGCTCGTCATCCCACGGTACGCACAAACATCCAGCCCCACTTGTCCGCCACAGTGTACGACGGGTCGCCAGTTCACCACGACTTGAAGCCGTCAGGTTCCTCTGACTTCGCTTACACGTACCAAGGTAAGGACTTTCGTGACGCCAGGGATCACTTAGTCGAGGGTAATGTTAAAATCGAACTCAGGGGAAAGGTCGCTATTTATCGTCTCTTTCGGAGAGAACTGGTGTTTGGGCGTGTGAGTAGGACCGAAGAGGTCAGTTCTGTTTGATTCTGTGTTCCCTCGAGGTTAACACTTCCTCGTCAGTGGCCGTGACGGAAGGAGCGTTCTGTTTTAGGGGCGAGTGGGAGCTCCGGGTTCGACCATTTCGGCGGGGGAGCTCACGAGCACGGAGGCCATCATGAGCACTTCCACGCCGTGGAGGATCATGGGTAAGTGAAGAACAACACAGATTTTTCCACTTTGTGTGAACTAGTTAGCGCTTGTAACCACTGAACAAGAGCAAAGTACAGCAACTCTTTGGGAATGGCATGATAACTCTGCAGTGGATCTTAGATTAGTAGGCGGGGAAGATAAAAGCTGGACTGAGCTGGCTAGGATAGACTTTAATGGCCGTCTTCTGAAGGGCTGATAGTCGAAGGTAGTTCAGTAGTAGAACTGGACAGAAGAATATTGAGATGGGACTTTTCTTGCAGACACCATGGCCACGATGATGATGATGATGATGATGGTGGGTACCACATCACGCCGAGGGACATTGCCTTCGGCTTCCTGACCTTCATGGTTATCCTCACTAACCTCCAGGTCCGTATACCACTTTTAGGTACCATCCCAGATATATTCGCCGAGACAACAAGTTACATGTTTTAAATGAGAATATTTATTGATCGCTCGTTGTTTATTTTATATTATTTGGTTCGGATGGCACTGTGCATGTTTATACTTCCTATACGTTTCCATGACCACCATGGTTAAAAGTAGACTGACGACATGGCAGCCATGTGAGTGGATAGTTGAGTATGGAGAAGGAGAATTATTAGTGCCGATATCTACCTGGAAGTCGCCCTTGTCGTTTCTTGCAGAGCGGGCTGATCAACCTCTCCAAGAACAACAACCTTCTGGGTGTCATCACGTCTCGTAAGCGGCGAGAGGTCTCGAAGCTGTACCCCATGAGTGAGGTGCCAGATGGCCCGCTACCCTTCCCAGTGAAGGTACAAGAGCTCAGTATTACGTGAACTTCAGCAACGGAGCACGTAGGATCGTCTGTCAGATTGGCGTTGAAATTTGTGGAAGGCGCAGACGTCAGACGCCTTATTTTTGCTCGAACAGAAATTAAAATCATAATTGGTCCTTAGAAAATGTGGCTTGTGTTTTGTTTGTGGTTTCAGCTGGACGAGAAGAACTGGCTGTTGTTGGAGGACAAGCAGGTTCGATGCATACAGCGCAGCGTCTGCGCAACCAACAGGCAGCTGGCGAGGGACCTGGGGCCCACAGGCAGGGCACTGGGACGCTACCTCAGGTCGGTTATCAACTTTTTAATTATCTTCAATTGGTTAATCAGTTGACTAAGTTATGACGTAACATTTGAGGTTCTTACGACGGTGAAGATGTTATGTTTCTCCGAAACGTCGGTGTCTACCTGCGAATCCGCATGGCTTCACAGCCGGGGAGAGTAACAGCGATAATTATGTCCCAACGCAGTCTTCAGTCAGCTCAAATTTTGGTTTGTCAGGCAACTCGGTGTGTACTTTTATTTCGGGTGTTGAGGGAACTGCGAGGGTTGATGGTTGGTGCTGGTCAGAATCCCAACCCAACAGGTCCTGTGCTTGCAGTGGTCTGGTGGCGAAGTCCGTGGACGCCGGATGGTCGCGTCTGGTGGCAGACGCCGGAACAGCTGGGTTGGCCGGCGTCGATTGTGGCGTCCTGTACCGCGGATGCCACAGCCACCTGGATACGAAGCCACAGAAAAAGCCACGTCTCCCCGAATGATCTCGTATTAAACATATGTTCGTATTTTCTTGTTTTCTGGAGAGGGGAAGGGATATATATTCTTTGTGAAGGCATAAAAATCCCTACAAAAGTTAACGTCGTTTTCATTTAGCCTAATCCTACGTACAAGTTTCCAAAGTTGTCTCTTTCCTTAAGATTTTCCAACTTTCCACTGGCTCACGATTGCCATATCTCGTTTTCGCTCGTCGTCTCGTGTTTTTACCAGAAACTGCTGCCTGTGTAATTAGACACTTCACGTCGTCATTCGTCTGTTGGCAGCCACAGGGTCATTTAACATAAGCCCTTTCCTATCCCCCCGGCCACTATCCTCTTTATTATTCGGCGGTACATGACCTCAGGTCCAGGTACAGCATCGTTAAATTATCTGCAGTTGAAGTAATCAGAAATGTGGTTGGTACTTGGGGCCGTGGAAGCCACGCGCCTTCGATGATGAGCTGACGGTGGTTGAATTTCAGCTGGGTCACTGGTTAAACTGCAAATTAATTTTTGGCTTTGTGGTGGCGGCGAAACTCAAATGCGAACTGCAGTATTAAACGTCTTGCTGTGGGTATATACAGGGTGATTCGATTAAGAGTCTGGCCGACTTCTTATATGAAACAGGCGAATACATTCATGATATGTGGAGACGGGAACTGTCGCTGTCAGTGTAAATTGAGGCAAAACACTAGGTTTATTATTTCGTTTGAAATATGTAATTCTGAACGTTCAGAAAAATATCCCAAAGATAATACATACGTGTATATTTTTATTCTGTTCTTTAAAATTCGTAGTTGAATTCTTTGAGTCGTCTGTTCGCCGGAATCCTTACGCGTTCTACATTGGTCTCCTTTCATATAAATATTTCCGCTTTTTAGAGTATTTATTTATGTAAACAATTTAAAACATTTTATAAATAAGAATGGTCCCCAAACACCAAAAACCAAATGATTTTTAATGATGGAATGCTGTGTTTTCTCTTCGAGGTACAGACAAAATTTTTAAATATTATTCAGACTAGTTTCGTGCTTTAGCGGATTTATAAAGATTCTTGTTTTCTGTGTAATTGTTATAAACTAGCTGCTCTTAGTATTTACATTTTATGTTCAGTGGAAATCTTTGTTGTAAACAATACATAAAAAAATATCGTTTTAGGATAAATATATTAGCGGACTAGATCAGCTGCCATATTGAGTGTAATGTCATAGATGGACCTTTTGTACCTTTGTGCTCTAAGGTCATAGTAGCACGGCTTTGCGTGCATATATTTTTTTAAAAGACTCATTGATTATCTGTCCCCTCCATCATGAGGAAGTAATGGATTGTGATGGGCAGGATACAGCACCGTTTTCTGAAAGGCCTATCAGACGTTGGTCCCGATCGATCGCAGTGAATTTCTTTAAATAACGTGTATTAGTCTATAAGAAAAATTAAGGCTATAATGTAGACCACTTGGAAGATCTGTATGTATGTACAGTGCCTTGAACCTTTTATTTTGTTGGCCTGTGACGAGATGAATGTAGAAATTTATCTGAAGTTTTGTGTTAGGTTGGATTCGGTTATATATGACACTGAGAGTTGTACAGCATTGAACAGAAATATTCAGTTCTGATCAGGTTTAATTCCAGGAAGTGTGTGATTATTTTGCGTCGTAAAAGTTGGCAGGGTTAAAGTTTTGACGTTCTCCACCAGATTGCAGCAATAAAATGTCGTAATCGTAAGCCAATCAAAATTATTTACGTCACGGTGAGTGCGTGACGTTGCACGAATCATAGGAGCTGTATTATTACAGAGAATATGACGTTGAACCAATCAGAACACTTCTTGTGGGTGACGTTTCATTCAAAGAACTGCCACGTGCAAGTGACAAAATGTCGTGTCTCTGAGGTGTGTAAATGAAAACGTGGAATATGTGAAGAAGAACGAAGGTCATCTCTACAGCATTACTGTAACATCAGTAGGGAAGATGGGCAATCCAACAAAAAATGTAACTTAAGAAATATTAAGTGATGAAAAGTGTTAAAGCTCGCATTTTCTGTCGACACAGAACGAGGTGAGTACATTTATAAAAACGTAAAGTTTCATGTAGAAAATGTAAGATCCAGTAATATAGTATAAAGAAGATGTTCTACAAGAATTGTTAATGAACAGTCAACATACTGTTCATTAATTATGTACATCCTAACTGAAAGTGGTGACAGTCATTTGACTTAGAGAGCAGGTTGCTTTAAGAATTTATATGATTTATTCAGTGACCTTCAGTAGCTCGGGCTATATACTCATATTACATGAGTAATGAATAATGAATTGTAAAGGATATTGTCATGGTGATTAAGTCAAAAAGGATGAGGTGGGCGGGGCATGTGGCAAGATTGGATTTTGCTGGCCCAGGACAGGGACCAGTAGAGGGCTTTGATTAATTCGGTGATGAACCTTCAGGTTCCCTAAGCCAAGTAGTTAGTTGTGGAAGGAAATTGCCCTTGCCTAATTTAAGGACTGACTTAGTGAGCTTGACAACCACGGTCAAATTCTTGGTAGGGTAAAAAAATGTTTGACATAAACTGTTACTTCCATAATGGCTCTGGTACCCAATAAGCATCCTACCAAGTTAGTATCAGGGGCTCTTTCCCCAGGGGTAAAGGAGGCGGTATGAAGCTGACCACTCACCTCCATCTAATGCTGCCTTCACACCGCGTTTTCATGGCATGGCGCTTAATACATAAGAGGGACGACACAATTTTACGTAATTGAGGAGGTTATCCTCATATATAGGTCACAGATGCAGCAAAAGAGAACATAAATGTGTGAGAGTTAAAACTCAGAATATAATTTATTTTGTGTATATAAATAACATGAGATCAAAAATAATTAAGCTCGTTGATACACCATTCTGCACCCCTTCACAGAACTGCAAATAAAGCCGTGCTTTAAAGCAATAAAAATAAATACTGAGATTCCTGTGTATTCGCACAGAGATCCAGAGTTCACGTGTCCCTGTCCTGACCGAGCGTTTCAGGGACCAGTCGCTGCAGGGCCGTCACCTGAAAATTTAAAGTGAAACGATTGTTACCCCTTAGTAGATGGTGGTACGAGCCATAAGCCCGTCATCAAAACTGAGACCTAATGCAGTCATCTGCCATTTTGACTGATAATACAGAACAGAGTTCAATTTTAACTCAGTATCAGACTGTACCTTCTTGTGTTCTTTATTTATTTACGGAGATTATGTCAACTTCTTAGATGACTAACACAGAAGAATGCTTGGCAAAGACCATGCACTATCTATCTGAATGGTGCTGACGCTTAGCCGTCTATCCTCACCTTGTTATGAAGCATCTTCTCCTTAGCAGCAGCTCGACGTAGCAACACCTTCACCTTATCGAGCAGCTGGGACTTGTGTTCCAGCTGAGATTTCACTAGCTGCAACTCATTTGTGTGTGTATGTGCGTTGTCTGAAAATGACCACAGCAAGGACTGTGCAGTTCTTGGTATATTATTTACAGGTGCAGTTGTTTTTTGTGGGGGAGGAGGGAGAAAATCGGTCTCATGAGAATATGGCAAATGTTTGTCCATTCTCATACATATCAATACCTCGTTCTGTCCGCAGCCTGCCCTCCAGCAGCCTCAGCTGATTATTTGCCTCGTCAAGTTCCGTCTCGAGCCGAGACGCTTTCTGCATCACTTCTGTGTAGTTTTCTTGTAGCTCCTTCTTTTCAGCTTCTACCGTCGTCACTTTCGTTCTCAGTTTGTCTGCAGAACTCTGGGAATAAGGCGTACACAAAGATTAAGGGGAAGGGCAGATAAATCAGCAATCATAAAAGACTCTAGGTAGACAGACATGTAGAGAGTTGGGGGAGTGATTAGGGGAAAAATACTAGACCGTGTGCTGGCAAGCGGTACTGGGGTATGTTTGGCAGACTGCATATATTCAGATTTTCTGCCAATTCATGAAGTTTACCTTTTACCAGACTACATGACGCATCAACCCAGTAGACGGCGATCTTCAAACTCACCACCGTCAAAACCTCAAATCCTACTAAGCCAATTCATGTTCACTATGGTACGCACTTGAGATATTACCGCACTTACCTCGCGTTCAATAACGGTATCTTTTCTGCCGGACATCAGGCGCCGGTTCTCTCGTTGCAATTTTTCTACAACTCTCTTCATCGCTATGACTGTCCTCTCCATCTCGGCTACTGACTTCAGAGATTTGTGCTGGCAACGAATTTGAACAAACTTATAACATATTCATTTACACGAAAGATGAGGAAATCAAAATGACAAGGTTTAAAAATGTTTGTATTCACATCACTAATGGCTACAAAAGGTGCTCCAATCCAGTGAAGGGTCTGGTACACTTTCATTTCAAGAAATGAGTCTTAATAGTTGTGTTGGCATCACAGGTTTTTCTTAGCCATTCAGTCCACAACGCAGAAGTGCAATTCCTTGCGTGGAGGTCGCGTCTGTCCGCATCTTTGTATCACTACTGATGTCAGCGAACACGCATTGACAATTCAATAAATTAAGAAGCTTGTCACTTTGACAAATAAGGTTGCAGTTTTACTTGAAGACTTTGGGCTTTGTGGTGTGAATGCATTTTCTAAGGCTTGGATAAAAATATGAAAAATATATTGTAAAGTTTAGGTGTTCACACATCTTGTATATTTTAAATGTTATTCTTGGAGGGGAAATCATGTAGTGGAGTCAGAACACTCACTTCAGCGTCCTTGTCACCAGCGCCTCCGCCGTGTTCTGCATTTTCTGTTTTGAGGAGGGAAACATATCTGAAATCAGAATACATCACCACGTGCGTAATACAAATCATCATCTGGGAGGTCATGCCTATCCATCTGCATGTTTCATCTCTGAAACTAACAAGCAAAGTACTGAAAATGTGAATGCAATGTGATACTAACGTTTCCAAGTGCTGAATTTGTTCCTTGAGGCGTGGTGTGTCAGTTCGATGCTTCTCCAGGTCCAAGCGCAGTTCCAGGTTCTCACTCTCAAGTAGAAGGTTGGCTTTCTGCAGGGTGGCGTTTGTTTCCTGCAGTTTCTCCAGTTCTTCGGACACAGTGCCGCTTCCCTGGGAATACGCGGAGAGGCAAAAATTAAGACTGCGGGGTTCGTGTAACTATCTGATGTTCAGAGGAGCACTGCATTCTGAGTAGTGAAAAGTGATCAGGATAAAAGCCTGCAAAAGCTTTACACATCTGGCAGCCAACGTGTGAACTAGCAACGTCCATTTTGTAATCGATAACTATTCCGCTGGTCAAGAAATTTGGAGCAAGGCCACCCACCATCAGACCTTTAATGAACCAGGTTGCAGCTTAATTTCCAATCAAACAAGACTTACCAGCCTCAGTTCATGGAATCGCTCTCGTTATGTTGTTGGCGTCACTGCACTCTAGGCATCTCTGTGACACCGAATGCTAAGATTTGGCTAAACTTCATCACAGGCTGTTTCTAAGTGTTCTTCACATACAATATAAAAGTGAAACTAAAAGGAGTTCAACAGAAAGATGCTTAAATAGAAAATGTGAGATACTGGAACCATAAACTGGACAACGGTGGTGTTCCTTGATCTCAGATGTTCACACAGCTACCGAGATGGTTGGAGGTGGAAATGACAATATTTTCTTGAAGTGGCTGCCTCCTCTTTTCAGAATTTGTTACGGAGGGAAAGAAAGGATAAAAGGAAGATTAAGTCGTGTGTAGGCAGAGTCACACGCCAACTGCTCCGCGTCACACTTACTTTCTTGGCCAGTTCAAGCGCCGCGATGCGTCTCTGTTGCGCCTCCAGCCTCTCCTGCAGCATGGCGGCTCCGAGTCCCCCAGAGTGATGCTGCTGCATCTCCAACTTGCTCTGCAGTGTTGCCACCTCCACTTGTAGCTTATTCTTCTCCAACTCCAAAGCCTCAATTCGTGTCCCTGAGGCAGGAGAATCTGCACATTTGTTCAGTTGAATTCAAGTCGAGTGGTAAACATGCGTACATTACACGTCTCTATCCTCAGAAGTTTTTGTAGGTTAGGTGCCTAGTAAAAGACACCACAGCTGTTGCTCCTGATGTAGTGTTTAATTATGAACTGGGGTAACTTTAACTTCAACTGCTTATATCTAGGTCTCCTTACCTGCTGTCTTCCTTAGAGGATTTTCCGATAAAAATTAAAGAATATTCGTATTTGCATGCTGCATGTTCTGGCCATCTCATCCTTCTTATGGTATTAGGTACAAACTGAAACTCCTCAGTGTGCAATTTTGTGCATTCTTTCAACTTCAGTGTGCGTATTTTACTGATAAACTGAATATATTGCCAGAAAGTCAGAACCTACTTCTTCTGGCTCTCAGACGACTGTCTAGAACAATTTTCTCCCGCTCCAGTCTGGTGGCCGTGTCTTTAAGGCTGACGACGGTCGACTGCAGCCTCTCAATTTCTGTGGTCTTTTCCTTCAGCTTCTGCTTCTGTTTGTCTACTGTCTGCTGCCATCGCTTCCGTTCGTCCCACCTAGCAACTTCCTCCGCAGACTGAAATTGCCACCGTAATATGTTCACATTAATTTAAGATTCAACTAAGCTCACAAAGTATAAGTAAATCAAGTCCTCAAATCCTATTTCTTTAATAAGAAAGAATTAGTTCACATCAAAAGCCCTACTTTTATGCGGCAAGACACTTACAGCCTTTGACCCAGTCCCCAGGAAGTAAATTTGTTCTTAAGATGTTCGCATTCTAAATGTATTACCTGACAACTGAGCCCCTCCTAATCAATTACGTATATGTAAAAAGTCAGCTGTTTATTGGATTATGTTGTCTGTCTATTTAAAGGTACTATATCAAGTGAATTGATCACAACCGACAAAGTAATTTAGAATGGTGGGTTGCAAGGGGTGTAGGAGGAAGTGACGTCATTGCAGTGACCTACTTTAACTTTACGTGCTTCGTTGTCAGATCTGTCCTTGTCCTGCTTCTGTTTGGTCTCCTGCAACTGGTCCTCTAGCTGCTTCACTTTCTTCTGCAGCATCTCCTCCGTAGCTACAGATCTCCTCTCAACTGCTGCCTCCCTCTTTGAGGACATCCTCAGCCTGCGTGACAGACGAGCAGATGTACGTATGTAGGTCAGTGATTGAAAAATACAAGTTATGGGAAATATCTGACAATTACGTAACCCAAAAAATATTTTCCTACCAGGCCCAGGATGTGATTGGCTTAGGATCGTGTCCCGTGGCAAGCTTTGCTATTGGCGGTGTTGAACAGCGGGTCGTCAGTCGTGTCTCACGTTAAATGCAAATGGTTGTCATTCGCTGTTTTAGGAGTCCAGTCAAAACAGCTGTTGTTTTAACTTTGATGCTTCAGTACCTTTTTTATGCTTTCTTTGTGTAAAGTTTGTGATATTAACACAATGCAAAGTCCTCCTTGAGAAGTCAAGTCGCTCGCTACACAAGAAACTACCTGCCTTTTATGAAACCCAAAGGTCCATTACTGCATGCCACTGGACCATATCCTAAGCCAACAGAATCCAATCCGTTTCACCCTCTATAAGGCGAGTATCGCCACTGGTCATCGGTTGACTAGCTACGCCAAGAGTATCGCATTTGTGTCTGCAGTAATTGAGGGATACAAAATATAAAGTGGAGAGAAAATATTCAAATTATAATATCTTAGCTGTACAGTACCTGTTGTTTAACTGATCTCGTAACTTGCTGGCTTCATCTCTGGACATCTTCAACTGTATCCGGAGATTATTGATCTCAGTTTGCAATGCTTTGCTGTCAGTCAAAAAATGCAATTGGCCTGTTGTATCCCTGGATGGAGTACTTACCAACTGCTGTATCTCTTTCTGAAAACAGAATTAATTTTGCTGTAATGTGTTAATGATGTCTGGCTTCTGCTCAGGAAACTAGTGGATAATGGATTAATCTGCTTATCCCGCCACGGTTCCGGTAATTTAAACATTTTACATCATTTGTTGGGGCTGTCGTGACATTTTCTTTGCAGTGAGAATGAAGATGGTTGTCTTCTGAAATGTTGCCATGTACTCTGGTTAAATTTTATCGACGTATCAAAGGCGGCAACCACATACGACAGTAAAGTTCTCCAAAATTACGTGTTGCTACGTTACAGAAGACAGTCATCTTCGCTTCACGAATGTTTTCATACCACAAGATGTAAGTGCCTATGAATATGAAGGTATTAGGTGCGGTGTGCCGAAACACTTTGAAAAGATCGATTTCTATTAGTGGCATTACAGAAGATTAAAGACGTCCCTCTTCAACTAGCCCCAGGTCTGTCCTGTGAAGACAATGATTTTTATTCTTAGAAGAATAATAGTGACCTAGAGCTCAATCAGTGAAATGACTGGCTATGGGGTGTAGTTCCCAATAGGGACAGGAAATTTCCTCTCTGCCCCTATTCCAGACTAGCTGTGGGGCCCTCCAAAACTCTGATCCAATGGGCACCATGCCTTTCTCACTGAATATAATTGCAAAGCCGCTGCTGCGATAATTTATAACATCGTCCACATTAATGTAAAATACTTGGAAAAGAATTTGAGCCGATAATCAGACCTGCAGATCAGCTACGGTTTGCAGCAGCTGCCGTTCCTTGGCCTCCTTGTCTCGTAACTGGGCCCTCAGCATGGCGACAAAGTTCTGCGTGACCTCCGACGGTCCGCGCTGGGCCGCTTCCATTTGCTGTCTGAGCTCTTCCTGCACCATAGCCAAATCATGCTTCACAGTTTCTGATTCGAGACGATAACGCTGCGACTCCTCCCGGTATGCCTG